AAAAAAAAAAAAAAAAGTCTGTTTGATGTGGAGCACAGTGGCTCATTCCCGTAATCCCAATGCTTTGGGAGGCCAATGTGGGAGGATCACTTGAGGCCAGGAGTTACAAACCAGCCTGGGCAACATAGCAAGACTCTATCTCTACAAAAAATAAAAATACAAAATTAGCCAGGCATGGTGGCACACACTGTAGCCCTAGCTATTCAGCAAGCTGGGGCAGAAGGATTGCTTGAGCCCAGGAGTTCAAGGCTACAGTGAGCTATGATCGAGCCACTGCACTCCAGCCTGGGCCACAGAGAAACACCCTATCTCTAAGAAAAAAATAATGAATGACATTGTGTTTTGCCTTCTGTTCTCTGAAGTCCTTCTGCTTTTCTGAGGATGTCGGCGTCCACGTGGACGAGCATGCAGTTCACCTGACTTGCCATCTCACCTCTTCCTCAGCTCTAAAGACCTTTGCTTCCACTCCCCTTAAGCTGCACATGAACAGCTCTTGTGATCTTTTGGACAACTAGATTTCTAAAATCTTAAACTGCAACATACTTTCTACTTGCCCTCTGTGGCAGCTTATATTCTCCAAGGTGGCTGCAACAAGTTCTGCCATCCTGTGTGCTCTTTTTTTTAATTTTTAAATTTTTAGTTAATTAATTATTTTTTGAGACTGGAGTCTCACTCTTGTCACCCAAGCTAGAGTGCAATGGCGTGATCTTGACTCACTGCAACCTCTGTCTCCTGGGTTTAAGTGATTCTCCTGCCTCAGCCACCTGAGTAGCTGGGATTACAGGTGCCCGCCACCATGCCTGGCTAATTTTTGTATTTTTAGTAGAGACAGGGTTTCTCCATGTTGCCGAGGCTGGTCTCAAACTCCCAACCTCAGGTGACCCGCCTGCCTCACCCTCCCAAAGTGCTGGGATTACAAACGTGAGCCACCACACCCGACCTAATTTTTAAATTTTTATTTTAAAATAGGAGACAGTAGACATTGTGGGCTACTAGGTGGGGGAGGGGGGAAAAGGTGTGTGGGTTAAAAACTAATTATATGCTGTGCTCACTATCTGGGTGCAAAATATCCTTTTAACAAAACTGTGCATGTACCCCTGTATCTAACACAAAAGTTGAGAGCTGGTACAATGGCTCACACCTGTGATCCCAGCACTTTGGGAGGCCAAGGTGGGTAAATCATTTGAGCTCAAGAGTTCAAGACCAGCCTGGGCAATGTGGCAACACCCCGTCTCTACAAAAATTACAAAAATTAGCCACACATGGTAGCACATAACTGTAATCCAAGCTACTCAGAAAGCTGAGGCAGCAGAATCGCTTGAAGTCGTAAGGCAGAGGTTTCAGCGAGCCAAGATCGAGCCATTGTACTCCAGTCTGGACAACAAGAGTGAAACTTCATCTCAAAAAAAAAAAAAAAAATTAGCCAGGCATGGTGGTGTGTACCTGTAGTCCCAGCTACTCAGCAGGCTGAGGTGAGGATTGCTTGAGCCCAGGAAGTCAAGGCTACAGTGAGCTATGATCACACCACTGCACTGCAGCCTGGGTGACAGTGAGACCCTGTCTCAAAAATAATAATAAAAAAAACGTTGAATTTTTTTCTTTTTGAGACAGAGTCTTGCTCTGTCACCCAGGCTGGAGTGCAGTGACATAATCTCGTCAGAAACCAATCAGGTGTGGTGGCAAGTGCCTGTGGTCTCAGCTACTCAGGAGGCTGAGGTGGGGGAATCGCATGAGCCTGGGGAGGTGAGACCCTGTCAAACAGAAAGAGGGGGAGGAGAGGAAGAGGAAGAAAAAGGAGAAGCAGCAGCAGGAGGAGGAGGAAGAAGAAGAGAAGAAGAAAGAGGAAAAAGTAGAAGAAGGAGGAGGAAGAGGAGAAGGAAAAAGAGAAACAGGAAGAAGAAGTAGAAGAAGGAGGAGGAAGAAGTGGGACTCCATCCCAAGTAGCCTGTAATCGCAGCTACTTGGGAGGCTGACGTAGGAGCATTGCTTGAACCAGGACCTGGGAGACAAAGGTTGCAGTGAGCCGAGATTGCACCACTGCACTCCAGCCTGGGCTACAGAGCAAGACTCCACCTCAAAAAAAAAAAAAAAAAAAAAAAAAAAAAAAAAAAAATTGAGAACAGCTCCTGTATGTCCAATATCATTTAAACCTGCCTCAGCTTTCCGAGTAGCTTGGATTACAGTCATGCGCGACTGTGCGTGGCTAATTTTTGTATTTTTTGTAGAGACAGGGTGTTGCCACATTGCCCGGGCTGGTCTTGAACTCTTGAGCTCTTGAGTTTCACCATGTTGCCCAGTCTTCTATTTCTTCTTCCTCCTCCTTCTTCTACTTCTTCCTCTTCCTCCTTCTCTTCTTCCTTCTCCTCTTCCTCCTCCTTCTTCTACTTTTTCCTCTTTCTCTTCTTCTTCCTCCCCCCTCCTCCTGCTGCTGCTGCTTCTTTTTCTTCCTCTTCCTCCCCTCCTCCTCTTTCTCTTTGACAGGGTCTCACCTCCCCAGGCTCATGCGATTCCCCCACCTCAGCCTCCTGAGTAGCTGAGACCACAGGCACTTGCCACCACACCTGATTGGTTTCTTTTTCTCTTTTTTTTTTGAGATGGCGTTTCTCCCTGTTGCCCAGGTGAGAGTGAA